CAGAATCGACGACACTGCGACGAGAGCGTCCGCCACCACCGCACAACACTTCGAAAATTACAAGGGCACACCGAAGAGATAAGACAACTTCTAACCGAATGGCTTTCGTCTAGGTTTAAACCATTCATACAAAAAATGTCCACATAAAAAAAAAGGCCGCGCGAACATTTTCCATTTCCTAATGCAGTTGGTCATAGGCAGGGAGTGACGATCGCCTTGCTAGTTCTTAAGGGTTGGTGCGGCTTCGGCCGCTCAGGTGGATGGGATTGTTGTCGTTGCGTTCGGAATCCGTGGATCGAACAGCTTCCACCGAGAAATTTGGTTTCGAGGACGTATTTTTTATTCATTTTTTTATTTTACTGCTTGAAGTCAGAAAGCGCGCGAAGAGCACGCAGAAGTATTCTCGTTGGTTTCAACGACGATGTAACCGAGCGGTGTTGCTGGCCATAAAGCTATTATAAGATTTAATCGTATCCTATCCACAACTTCCGATCGTTTCGCTTGGCGTATTCGGATTTGTTCTTAGGTTTCGTCGTACGTAGGTTTTGCGTCAAAGCAAAAACAAAATATATTTAGCGAACAGTTTGTGCCGCTACGCGTTAAACAGCACAAGCAAAGCAAAGCAAAGCGGAGAAAATACCTTGCCCTCTCCCGTGATACTGGTCACTACGTCACCGTCGAGCGATTGCAGCGCTCGAATCGGTCCCGCTTAGGGCTGATTATAGCCGACACCGTACACGCGAAAACTGTTTAATGCCATAAAGTAAAGCCACTTCTTTCTTCCCACATGACGACCAAAAATGCTCTCCTCCCCTTTTCGTCACAAAACAGCGTGCCCTCCCCCCCCCCCCCCCCCCTTTCCAAAAAGAACAAAAATCTAAACAAAAAAATTCAGCTTCTTAGTGCAAAAATAAACAAATGCATCGCCGAACGCTTTTTCTCGTTCCAAATGTAGCTCTAGCGGTTCGAACCAGATGCCAAAGATTCAGAACTAACCGTTATCTTGTTTAAAAGTTATAAGTGATTTTTCAAAAACTTTCAGCGGCAAATGGCGTGTGTTTTTCCGTAACTGGCGCCATTCAGCTCCGTGTATTTGAGGGCTCCGTGGAGAAAATCCCTTATAACATTTTAATAAGATGACGGTCAGTTCTGAATCTTTGGCATGTCTCGTTCGGACCACTAGCGCTACATTTTGATGAAAAATGAGCTTTCAGCGACGCGTAGTTCATTTTCGCAATAAAAAAAAAAAAAAAAAAAGTTTTTTTTTTTGTGACATTTTGAATACAACTTTGTGTTAATATTCCGAGGAGGGGCATAGTTAAAAACAAAATTGGTCCACAAAAAAAAAAAAAAAAAAAAGGAAACGCTCTTGCTCTCAGATAAGACTGCCAGAAGCTCCTTCCACGCCCTCATTACCGCCAGCCGGAGTTCCTCCGCGATGTGCAAATAGTCCGCTACCGAGGCGCACGTCGTGCTGACGTACGAAGGGATCGGTGCGTACTTACGATATTACTCACCCGCAAAAGGGACAACCAGATTGAGCAGAGGAAGAAAAACGCAGCTTTATCCGAACAAGCCAAGCAGTCGAGTGCTTCCCCCTCGTGTTGCCTAGGCCTAGCCAATGTATTTCTTTTGCACAAGTCCTCCTACCACAAACTAACCACGGCTACTGCATTTCCCGGTTTCAATCCGCACCACTGCCCGTTTCGATCTGGATGAGCGTCGTACCGGCGTGCGGTCGTGTGTCATTACTCCGTGATGCACGTTAAAGATTTCAGGCTAGCACTCGTACTGCACTGACTAAATGTCTCATCCCATGTGGGTAACAATGTCGCCATACTCTGACAATATAAAGTGCCGCTGACTAAACAACTAGCGATACATTTTTTTTGTTGCTTTTTTGGTTGGTCGGCGCAGCAATTCACTGCGCCGAATGGTACGTGGTGGTGATTATGTGGCACAATTTTAAAGGGTCCATGAAATGGTTTTTCAACCTCTTCGTGATTACCTTCAATCCTCAACTCAAAAGCGAAATGAGAAATAACGTGATCGTGACGTGCTTGGGCACCGGATGCGATGACTCCAAGCTTCGCCCGTGCTTTTTAAGCACGCCATGGAAGTTGTCATTGGCAAGTGATGATAAGTACCGCCAGGGCACGTATTGGCCACGAACGCAGATTGAAATCTTCGTCGACGGACTGACGGTTAACGAGCGCATAGGCCCGAGTGGGGCAGTGCTCGTGTGCGGTGCGCGAGCTGGGTTCGGCTGATGTGTTTTGGGCACCGCGGATGCATCACAGTGAAAAGGCAGAACACTTTCGAAGTAAAAAGGGTAAGAAATAGTCCGCTCTATTATCATTGTTTCGCACCAAAAAGCCGGCCTTTTGACTTTCTACCTTCTTTCTTTTGGCCCGCTATACAATAAGAGAGTAGTAAAATCCTAATCTAAAATAATTTAACCAAGCCCAAAATTAATTTCATGACCCCTCTCTAAAGGCCGGTTCAACGCCGCTCTAAATCGACGCTAGAAAACGGCGCTGATAAAGCGCTGACTTGCACGTGACTTTTCGCCTGTGTAGTTCCACAGTGCTGCACGTGACTTATCGCCGACGCGCTGTTCCACAGCGGTGAGCGGCGAAACAGCGCCGATGCGTTCCTGCCAAACCGACAACTGGCACTGTGGGCACTGCATCAGCGCAGCATCGGCATCTTTTTCAGCGCCGTTTCGACGCTGCGCTGTATGTGTGGGTGGTAGCTTGCGCCACCTAGCCCAAGCCTAAAAAAGGACAAACACACGTGTCTCCAAGACTGGTGGTGCGTTTCCCGCATCCGAAAATATGGACCCTCGATTGTCTCCCGATGACGTGGTACGAAACAGTCCTTAGGGTTCTGGTCTCACAGCGGCCATCCTGAATGGCTAAAGAAACAGTTTTTGTTTTATTAAAATAAATAAATAAATAAATAAATACATAAATAAATATATATGATTCAAAAAATAGAATCGCTAACATATTTCCTGTGTTCTATGGGGTTCTAGGATAAGCTATTAAAATCGTAGGTTAATTAGATCATTAGATAATTAATGAGCGATTATTTCCATGGTATAATCATTTTTTCCTATACTATTAATATTAACAGGGTGATTATTTTACGTGGCGTACTCAGTAGTATAGGAAAGAAGTGGACGAGAGATTTTCCGAGTTCTAATCTAAGTGTTTGTTTTTAATAAAAGAAACGTTTTGTGGTTTAAGTTACCTTCCTTTTTTTAAACACAATTCACAACAGTTTTCAGAAACGCTTCGTCCACTTTTGTAATAATATTGAGTACGCGTTCGAAACTTATCCTCTTCACTGTAATAATGAGAGAAAAAAATGATAAGCCCGAAGCAATATTTTCTCGTTCATTATACAAATAAATATTTCCCCTATGACTATGATAGGTTGCCCTACAATCCTAAAGATTACTGGAAATATGTTAGCAAAATTACTTTTAAGTGTATATCTTTAGATTTATTTTAATAAATTAAAAACCTTTTGTACCCATTGAAGATGGTCGCCATGGGATCGGAGCTTCAACTTGTATCCGACTATAGGTAAACGAGGCATTTGCGCACTACAAACAAAATGGCGGATCCGTTTTGATAGGGCAGTGACTATTTCGGCGTCCACCGTCAAAACATTTCAAACATTATTTTGACGTTTCTGACGTCAGTTCCGTAAAACGTCAAAATAATGGCTTTATTATTTTAACGTCCTCCGTCAGTGCAGCCGTCGCTGTAGTACCGTCGTAGCCTGTAGCGTGGTTAAGGCAAGAATGCAGGCGAGTTGGTTAAGTGCTGTCTTTGGAGATTCGCGTTGTCCTGTCCTTCTGGTTCCCCACTTCTCAGAATTCAAAAAAGAGCGTGCTAGCAGTTTCGTGGTTTCGTCAGTTTCGTCCTGTTTACTTTCTGATAGTGTTGTGTTGACGTGTTGACGGAGTCATGTGTCGCTGTGCAGCATGCCTAAGTTTTTGGCACTACAGATGTCTTATTCAGCGTGTGTGCGCTTGACTGGCTCGACAGCTGATCCTTTCGGACGTGACACGCCCGGCGGCGATGTTCCGAGCTCTTGCACGTCATTTCGGCACCTATCTCACTTAACATTTTGAATCCACGAGAAACGCGAGCTGGATATGCCTCTATCTTGCCAGCACGTAACGAATGCAAGTGTGTACACTACGTAACATTAAGAGTTTGGTACGCTTTTTAGTGCCTCCACGCCTCCACTACCGTGCGAGCGCGTCTTCGAATGCTTGCAAAGTATCGCTTTGCATCTAGATCCCGCCATGATTTTAACCGGGTTTCACGAGTTCGTTGTTTAGTTTAGATTTTTGTTTTTGTGGGGTCTAACGAGCAAGTTAACTACAAAACGATCGGGATGTTAAATAAAATGTTGTGAATGCAAACATTGCCTTTTTGACGTTTCTTGAGGGGTACGAACGAACAGCAAAGATTGTGACGCAACGAGCAAAAAATGCTCACGTTGCAATCTGCGCCGCTGTTGTACGAGATACACGGGTATTTTGACACCAAATGTCGTCCAATCATCTACAAAGGTTATGACACGAGATTCAACTCATTTGTTTATATAAAACACGTGAAATAAATAACGAAAAGCAATGGAGCACCATTGTGTAATGTCACAAAAAGCAAACGTTACGTGCGGCCTGATAGCTGATGTACTTTGAGAAGATAATTTTTTTTTGGTAAATTCCCCATTACTTAAAATGATATAAAAACTACAATCGACAGCACGACATTTGCTTACGGAAAATACGCGTTGAACCGCGACGCCTCGTGCAAGCAAAGTATTTTTGTTATATATATATATAACAAAAATATAGTATATATATATAATAAATAAATAAATAAATAAATATATATATATATATATAATATAAGACGGGTGTAACACACCCGGTTTTGTTTTCCAAGTTACCATATGATAAATGTGACACTTACCCTGCGATATTCATCGTGAATGCTCTCCACTTCGCTAGGTTTTGCCTCGTCGTCCTCCACGTCCTGAAACGAGAAGAAAAATCCAGATGCAAGTAAATAAAGTCTCTTACAAGACCCGCGGTTTCGATGAAGGTGTGTTTCCCCAAATCCGGCCATACCTTTCGAACCCTATTGCCTCGAATAAGAAAACGAGGAGAAAGAAAAAAAAAAGGGGGGGGGGGGGGGGAGGAAGAATCTTGCAAAGGACTAGAAGCTACCTGATTTGTGACAGGGGACGTTTTTCGGAAAGAAAACAAGACCCCGATTAGAATGGATGGCAGAAATAGAGCCGAATGACCCCAAAACTGGTAGTACCCACCGCAAAAAAAAAAATGTAAAAATGCAAAAAAAAAAAAAAAGGAGAGGAAAGGGAAGACTGATGAGACAGAAAGGGAGAGGGAGAGAGTGTGGGAAAGAAATACGAAGAGCAAGACTGGCTCTTTTTCGAAGTCCCCTTTCGTTTTCTTTTTCTCCGGTAGTCGTTTAACCAAGACGGGGAATGGGAAAAGGTTTACGGAACTCCACTCAAATTCTTCGCACTGGTCCTGTCTACTCGAGGCGCCTTGTCTCGGGCGTCAGAAGATGCTCTAGAAAGAGAAGGAGCCAAGGCTCGCATACACGCTCCCGCGAGCAACATGGCAGGTTCGTTTTCAGAACTGTCACGACACATTGAAGTCCTTTGATACGACCGATGGCCACGTCCTCCCCTGACTCGCCTTTTTCTTCACTGTGCTCCTCGTGATCTGGGCGAGGAAGCCCTTTCCGTCGCTAAGTCCTTCGCACCGAGGAAGCACAGACACACGCACAGGTTGACACAAAAGCGACGTTATGACGCAACTGCCGGAGCGTTGCACACGGAGGTCGGTTCGTCGTGGAATGCCTTCCCGAGTTCCAGGCGCCCACAGGTAGTGTGGATCGGAGCTCGAATCGCGTTGCCTTTGGCTCGCTTTTGCGCGTTGCGCGCAGCACAGAACTACTTTGCGCAGCATAGGAACTGTGCGCAACAATTGCTTGTTTCTTTGGGTGACAAGAAGTCTAGCTGGTCTACTCGCACACTAATAAGGTGAAACTATCTAGAGTTAGAGATGATGTTTCGTACGAAGGCGTTGGTCTGCTCTTATCAAAATAGAACTTAGAAGGCCAAGGAGGAGCTGAGTGAGTTGATACCCACCTTCGGAGTGTACTGACCAAGCGGATGCGTATGCGGTTACGTTGATTAAAAGGGTCATATTTTTATCTTTCGCTTTGTGACACTTCTGGGAATGTTTAGAACACACATACTGTACCGGGGATTAGAGACCATAAAGCTATTGTGTCTGAGGTCATCTTAAAGTGCATACGCAAGTGCAAATCACGGGAACGGATGGCATTTTATTATGACCGAGCAGATAATGCAAAAATGAACTCTTGCGCTCGCATCTTATCTTCCAGTTTTTGGAACTTTGTCCGAGTGCTTGAGCGTCAATGACGTATACATAAAATTAAAGGGAAAAATATTTAGTTTGCGGGAACAGTTTGCCCCATCGCGTATGCTTACGCCAAAACGAGCACGTGACAAGCCATGGTTTACACGTGAGTTGCGTGTATTACTCGGCCAAAAACAAAGGGCTATCTTAAATACCGTGAAACACGGCTTCAGAGTGATCTCGTTAAACTAAAATAATTCGCAAGAGTGGTTCGAGACACGTGGGAGCATGCTAAGGGCTACGTTCCTTTTCAATTTAGAGAATAGCATTCGACGTTCCCCAAAAGAGTTTTGGAAATATGTCCATAGGAATGGTAAACACAATTCATCCGTCCCGACGCTCAGGCACAGTGATACTATCGTCGATAAAGATACTGAAAAGGCGGTGCATTTCAATTTATATTTTCAGTCGGTTTTTACGCTTTGCCAGTCACGTTCGGCACATTTCAGTGTTCCAGCGGCAACGAACGCGATGCCCGAAGTTGAATCTGGCGTGCCTGAAATTCTAAACCAATTGCGTAACTTAGACACAACTGAATTGGCTGCTCCAGATGACATTCCTGCGCGTATTCTGAAATCTTGTTCTAGTTCATTCTGCCTTTACTTTGTGGTATTGTTCGAAAAATCGACACGCGAATCTTCTCTTCCGTTAGATTGGAAGCTTGCTCGAGTAATGCCAGTGCATAAAGTGGTCCGAGAAACAGTGTCAGAAACTACTGACCGATATCGCTGACAAGCATCTCTTGCAAGATAATGGAACACATTCTTTATAATAACATCATGACTCCTCTTAGCGCGTTTAACTCTTTGCATCCCTTGCAACAAGGATTCTCTCGGGGCTATTCTTGTAACAAGCAACAAAAAAAAAAAAAGTGGATGACAAAGTTTGTATTCGTGAATAAGTATTTTTCGTTAAGAAAGCAGTATGTTGTTTAAAATGGCTTCCAATCCCAAATGGTTGACGTCGCTTCAGGTGTGCCGCAAGGACCAGTTTTGTTTCTTATTTATATAAATTATATTGCTGTTGATCTTTGTTTTACCATTAAAATGTTTGCAGATGATTGTGTTGTATATATAGGAATCAATAAGGCGCATGATAGCCTGATATTGTGGGGAAAAATATTTGGACAACATTAAACCATGGAGTCAGTCATGACAAATGAATCTGAACATAAAGAAAAAACTGTGCACGTCACTTACAAGGAAAGTATTACCGCCAGCATTTAGTTATTCACTAAATGAAGGAGTCTTAGAAACTGTTAAAAAATCTAATTATCTGTGTGTGTGCTTCACTTCCACACTGCGGCGGAATGCCCATGTTGACGACATTCCGTCAAGGCCTCACGTATCCTTGGCTTTTGGTGCCGATATTTTAAACTTGTACCGCAGTCGCTCAAATAAACAGTTTATTCTACACATGTCCGTTCTATCACTCAATATGCCTGTGTTATCTGGAACCGATATACCGCCTTTTCTACCCAAAATATCCAAAAAAATTAAAATAATGCTGTAAGGTTTGTTTTAGGAAATTATGATGGCGACGTAGTATGATGGGGTGTAAACACAATCTAAAATGGTCATTTTTATACTCCTTTTTACGATAACTTGGTGAACTGTGGAGGCCACGGCCCCCGCGACCCAATAAAAGCGTCGAACCGAGGCGCGTGACTCTACGTTATGGCAGCGTTCGTGTCACTACGACAAATGCAAGACTCGGAGCACCCGGCTGTCGTCTGCTGGCCAAGAGCCGTCTGCTGCGAACCGAACCAACTTCGGATTCGTAGCGTCCACCGCCTCAATACTACTGTTCGCTAGAGTAGCGAGCTCTTTGGGAACAGTTAATGGACAACCATACGCACAATTTACCCTAAAGTCTGTGGCGGGTTCTGATGCCAGGGCGATGTTTTGAGCGGAAGCGGTCGATTACACGGCCGCGATCGTTCAAACATCGTTCAAAAGCCACGTTGTTCTCGGAAAGGTGTTGGTTCGTATCAAGTATCGTCGCAGAGTGACATGTCTTCGTCTTTCTTCAGTGTTGTGTCGTGTTGCGGTCAGAGCAGTCGAACCGTAACACTACTAAAAGAAAAAGAAGACTAGAACTACTTTTTGCCGCGGACAGCGCTTTTGCTGCGGCGGTTACGAGGTCTCTGTGGCCTCGACCATGGGGTGTTATCACATACCTTGCTCCGACGCTCTTATTGGGGGGGGGGGGGGGGGGGGGGGGTCGTGGCCTTTACAGTTCGCCAAGTTATCGTGAAACAGAGGATAGGTGATCAAAGAATGCTCCTCCGTCTCAAAACCTTTTACAATATTATCACGGAAAAAGTGATGTAGAAAAAGATAAATATACGAAAGCCCCTTTCTGCGTATCGCGTAGAAATGTCCAGCCTTTAAAATTAAAGATTTTTTTCTTGAAGGGGGGGGGGGGGGGGGCATTTCCAAAAGGAATCTATTTAATTTTTGTGCAGCGACACTCTTTTTTGTAGAGAGCACGCGTGACTATGAATTTTCTTCCATCACGGACGGTCAGAAAAACTTCCAATGACGCCTTTCTTCACATGCTGCAAATGTTACCATCTTTTGATCATGGTTTTTTTTTTTTTTTTGCTTATATTGCCCCCTACTGTAATGCGAATTGGCGAAGCAGGTAGTTGAATAAAGAAAAGAGAAAAGAAAGAAGATCAGGGTGAAATAACGCGCTCTTGACACAAGAAAAGCTCGTATGCTTCTGATGCCGCCGTAGGAATTTTGAAGTGGAGCTTTCTCCACCTTGGGGATGTCTCCTAAATCATCATGTGTCCAAAGGTTGACTGTCACTTAGACATTGACTGCTGACAGACAAAGTGAACGCTCGAAATAAGTTCGAGTCACGCTCATATAGTGTCGAGATCCTGTATCACGTTTAACTTTAGTTGGGATTGGGCTACGTGGTTGGTCATTGCTTTGGTTAAGCTGCGCTGCGAGGAATTACAGCTCACGACAGTGGGACGAGAAAGACAACGCGACAAACGGAAATAAGCGCAAATTAACAAATGTTTACTTTTCGTACACTCAAAAGTAGAAAATAAATCGGAAAACAAGAAAGAGGAAAAGAGGGGGGGGGGGGGGGGGGGGGCGGAGAAGTGAAAAACATAGATAAAGAATGAACAGTTTTTTGTCTTATTTTAGGCATCAAAAACTGTAACAAGCCCCAGGGAATCTGGCAGCGCATTGTACAAGGTGCATTTGTGAAGCGCAATTCTAAAGAACCATTATTTTGGCTAGATCACGGGAAAGGCAAAAGCGTGAAGTGATAAAGGCGTGTTTTATGACGTCAGGAACGCTCGGAACGTTTCTCAGTGAGCCTTCAATTTCCCTCACTCAAAAAAAAAGAAACAGTCAAATTTGGGGGTTTTACGTGCCAAACCTACGACGGGCATCTGGCACGCCCCAGCGGAGGACTGAGGATTAATTTCGACCACCTGGGGATCTTTTGACGTGCAACCGAAAGCTCGGTTACACGGCGCCTTCTCCGCAATAAGCCTCCGTCATATTGCAGGCACCTCGGCCGGGATTCGAA